TTCCATTTAAAAAAATTAATGTGACCTTGACCTGACCTTCGCTACGCAACCCAAGGTCAAACTGATGTGATCAGTAAATACATCTTTTTAAACGCCACAACTTTTGTCTGAAACATTTTTTTGTAAAACTTATATTTTTCCTGATATTCGGGCGTTCCGGTACTTTCCGAACACCCTGTATAATTAAATAATCACAAATATTTTATTTTATGCAAATTTCACACGCACACTTTTATTTTTGTTAAAAGTTTAATAATCATTCCATTTCAAAAGTACCAATCTATCGGTAATGTTATAAATTCAATATGTTTCACTATGTGTTCGGAATTACTTGCATTTTCTAAGCGAGTTTTTTAGGCTATACCGACTTTTCTTCCTCTTATCTCTCCCGCTCACCTGTCGAGTATGCAATTGCCGGTTACTGTTTTCAGCCTGAAGGCTGTCAAGTATATAAGATCTTCAAGACTATTCTTAATTTATGAAAAATTTCTATTATGCATATTTATTTCCATATAATACTGTTTCTATCTACGCATTACTAATGCATTTATATTATTATAATTACAACGATATAACACTAATTTCAATAGCACCGCAAGTCAGTCGTGAAGCTCGATAGCTGAGCAACAGAACTGAGCAAGGCGAAAAAAGTAAACGTAGACCACGAAAATTGCCTCAAAGATGCTAATAATTTCAAGCATTATTGTATTAAGCTTAAATTTTACTATTCATAATCTGTACACACACGCACATATATACACAAATACTTTATGGAAAACAAATGAGAAAGAAACAGCAGCGCGATCGCGCTGATCAGCATTTTCTGCATTACCTTGCAACTATCCAAGCACTTAACATAGTAGCACTCATAATATTTATTAAGTTAAAATAATTCGGTATATCTAAAAAGAGGAAGAACAATTCTTTGTTCAATAATTATCTGAATTGTTTGCATATATACATAATCATTTATGATTATATTATCAATCTTGTATTACTTATAAAGCTATAATTTATATATTTATAAGCGTATGTGCAATATATTAAGTGATAAAATATTATCATACTTTTTCTATTAAACTATCTTTTAAGAAAAACAAGTGCCAACAACGTTAAAATTAAAAAAGTAAAATTTACGCTATTAATGTTTCTGCAGTAGTGACTTCTGGACAGCCTTCTGGAGAATATATATTCAAAAAGACAATAAGGAATATATACATATAAAAGAAATAATGGACTCATGGTTAACGAATAAACATCATCCAGAAATGCACTTTTATCGTGACTATGATAAGAAAACAGTGGAGCTCAGTGTAAATTGTTCTTACAAAGTCTGCAAATTTCAGATACCTTTTACTTATATTACAGGGACGACTATAACATCCTACGAAACTTCAAATGTTACTTGGTATGATGAAAGTGAGAGAAAATTACTTCTTGACATTGAGTCAAATTCTTTTCTCTTAGTCAATATGGAACAAGTTGGTAAATATAGATTGATAAACATTTATAATCTTTTGTGGTTTATTTTATAAAAGGATAATATTTGTAATTTTATATGTTTGCATATTTTTTTAAGTAATTGAAACTTTTTAACTCCTTAACTTAAATAACATTTTGCAATATAAAATACTGTAAGCTATTGACAATATCCGGGGTTTATGTAAGTGACTTACGCGGTTTATATACTTAATTTTCGAGAGATATTATATATCATGTTATGCCGAAAAATGTCAACATAAAATATGATGTATTACAGAAAGTTATCATTCCTTGTTTGTATTGTATCAGTATCTTTACATGCTGATGAAAATGGAATCAAACTATATATGTGTGTGTGTGTGTGTGTAAAGAAACTACTTTATTTTTTATTTAAAAAAAAGTTAATTTTAAAATGACCTTGAAAATTAACATAAAGTTGTTTACTACGTAATATGCTTCTTCAAACAATACAAGCCTTCTTAAATATTTTCTTCTAACTTCGAAGCTAACAAAGACATTAAAGTGTTCTGTTTTTTATAACTCACCCTGTATATATGTATGAAAACATTGTAGAATTGTTTGCAGCACTAAATATCTCATAAATGGTTCAATAATTCCTATTAAGAATTTACAGAACGTTAATTTTGTAGTTTGTTGAGAAGTGTACTGATTGTTCAAGATAATTTATCGATAAGTAACTTCAGAAGTGTGTTACATGCTTTAATTTCTTTGACGCCAGGTTACTATCGAGTGAATTACGACCGCAGAAATTGGGTAGTACTTTCCACTTATCTAGCGACGAATATTCAACCACGCATACCTGTTCTCAATCGAGCGCAGATTGTCAACGATGCATTTTACTTTACAACAGCTGGGAATATAGGACCTGAAGTCTTCTTCCATATCATAAAATTTCTAGAAACTGAGACTGATTACATACCATGGTATCCTATGTTTAATGTTTTCTCATATATGTCAACTTATTTGACGTCTCCATTAAGCAATGTCACAAAGGTGATTAAAAACAAACTGATGAATATAATTTAAATATCTACTATCTCATATATATTATAGAATGCAAAATTAATGTTACGTAACGACTTTCAGACAAACTTTTTATTTTACGTAAATTCACTTATTAGTAACATAGGATACGATGAACAGGTGGGCGAAGATGAAATGACAAAAGCGTTAAGATTATTAGCAATAAGATGGTCCTGCAAACTGGGTTACGCAGATTGCAAGAGCACCATGAGGGACAAATTGAAATATTTAATTAAACCCAAATCGAAATCAATCACGTAAATATTGTCCAAGATTACTATTTATAATTTTAAAACATTTGTAATATGTAGTTAGTTAATATGTTCTTTTTGATATGCATTTAATACATTTGTAGCAGTTTTTAACGTATTTTACTTTATGATTGATGAATTACGTGGTCAATAAATAAGCTAAAAAATTAATTTTTTCTTATAAGTGCTCATTTTAATGTACGGTGTAGGGTACCGCGGACGACAGATTGGCTATACTGCATAGGGATGATGGATGTTACCATGAATTATTGGAATACGACTAAGAACAATGGAATTAAAGCCAAAAATACGCAAATTTACAAACTCTTGTCTTGTGCAGAACGTAAAGCAATAATTCTAAATTATTTAGACTCGATATTAAATAGTGATGCAGCACGACTAGGAATGGTAAAAGAAACATGGCAAAACATGGCAAAAGAATATCTTTTTATGATAAAGAAACATGTGAAAAAGAATGCTGTGTTGAAATATGTGTTACAAAATTATAAAAAAGCTGTGATCAGGTATTCGTTTTCATGAGAAATGTGAGCTCTTTATTACCATTAGATGTAGTTGAATCTGTTGAAACTAAATGTGATGCTTTGCAATTTCATAGATTTCCAGAAGATTTTAAAGATAACGTTCTAATGGCACATATTATAATGAGTACGAATACTCATGAACAACTCGACAAGGTAAATTCTGGAATCTTTTGATTTCGTTAGAAACATTTATTTAGCAACAAAATAATTTTATTATTTCCGTATCTTGGTTTTGTAAATAAAGCTACTTTAATCATTTATTACATATAAATAGAGATTACTTCGCGACTAATTATTATGTTGAGTATTGCTTACCATTGCTATCAACCAATCTATTTAAATTATCTATATCCAAATCTATTTTCCAATATTATCTGTTCTAGGTAATCAAACAGTTGAGTGCGTTTTTAGATAACCAGAATGAACGGGACACGTTTAACACCTTGATTACATATCGAAGGACACAAATAAGAAATATGCTAGAAAAGTTTCAAATGTTTGAAAACAATAGAGTAATTTCGTTTGTTAAATATCGTTAGATAAATTGATATTGCAATCTGACGAATCGGCAAATAACGCAACATAGTTTGAATGGACGAACAGTTTTTACAATTTATTCTACATGTTATCAATTGTTATTTTATAATAGCAAATATTTATATAAAGCATATTTAAATCAAACTTATAGCATATCCAGCTTAAAAAATTTGATAGAACTATATAAGACAAATCTGTGTAATTAAATCGTATTTTTGGTAAAAAATGATAAAACGTAGAAGAAGAAAGATTCACACAGATAAATATTTAATTATTCAATGTAATATATTCAAATATTAGAAGTAAATTACGGCAAACAAAATTTACGAGAAAGAGAAGGAATTGATAACTATTTTATGTGGAATGTAAGAAAATGAAATTTCCGATAAAGATAATAAATTCAAATAAATTTATATAGTATTTCAATGAAACTTGTATATATTTTTATAAACTTATCGGATTTTTTAAGCTGGATAATTTAATGTATATTTCTTTTATATCATATAAAATTGACAGAGATAAAATACTCCAAAAGAAGTGAAAAGTGTCTAAGAGAAAAAGCGAACGAGTTTTTCCTCAATTCTGCTCGTTGTAGGCGATCATTCAGTGCTGTAGACATCCGGAAGTCTATCTTTCTGTGTCCGCGAAGAAAAAGACAATCATTTTTTAGGATGCGACGTGGCCTTTCCTACTCTTTTAGAAATTAATTAAAATCTTAACCGCAAAATCATTTGTAAAAGCGAAACCTCGGAATTCATTCCCGATTTAGCCTCCACCTAACCGATAACTATGTCACAGAATATATTTCACCGTATTAAATAGTTTGTTTAAACTTCGCACATTTCTGGCACGTAAATTGCTTACGTTTCGCCGAATCAACTAAATACTATTGAGACATCTCATTTTGTGAAATCATATTATTTCACGCAGAAATATTACCTTTTCCAAATTAATATATTGTATGTGAGGTATTCTTTTAGGATGGAAAGATAAATGAATAGATGAAATGATTTAATGGAAGAGAAATCGTTATTCCCACATAAATTAATTTATTAAATACGAGTGGTATTTGCCGGGATTCGATTTTGCTTTGTTTGGATTTGATATCTCTCGACGCTTTAACTCGCTCTCTTTTTCTATATATAACAACGCAACAACAATCTTCTTCTCGCTCACTTCACAACTCGGTTCTCCTCTATTCCACAACTCTGCGTCCTCGCGTTTCCGTCCAACTCTACTGTATTTGCTTTTTCAATATTTTCAATATTGTAGCTATCGCTTCGTCTCCAATCATGTGATATCCGTATGATATCAACATAATCACATCGATAAGTACAGGAGATTAATGTAAAAATAAAATAATACAAATAATGTTATACCTGTCGTTACATTATAAACGTTATATTTGCGATCGCTAATTTTAAAAGTTACCACAGTACTTATATGATTATGTCATTTGATCTTTATCTTACAAGAAGATAATTAGGTAAATTTCATAATTCTTCACAATAAATCATTTTGAAACTTCATAAGTGTTGCATTAGTATATGCGTAATATTGGAGAGCACATTTTACACGCAGTAATAAATTCACTTAGTCAACACTCACTTCGTACATATCAACAAGTGACAAATAAGTTTAGGACGTTTTGGGTCAATAGAAATACCAATTTCTATTGTAATCTGCCGAAACAAAAAACAAAATAGCATTTTTCCTAAAGAAGGAATAGCTTTATCTTGTAATTTGTCCTTGTGTAATAAAAAAAACAAATATTTATTTAAAGCATCTTTATAGCACATAAGATGTATGTATTAAAATATATTCTTCTTGTAAATATGTAACTATGTAAATTTCTCACGAAAATCGTTAATGATTTTTTACAGAATAATGTTTATTCAAATTTCATCCATTTTATCTGTAAATTTTTATAACATTTTTCTTTTGAATAGTGTATTTAAAAAATATCAGTCACAAATATTAGAAAATTATCAGTCATTATTATGGACAATACTATCAGTTACGTCAACCAATTTTGTTCATGTATTCTCTCTCTCTCTCTCTCTCTCTCTCTCTCTCTCTCTCTCTCTCTCTCTCTCTCTCTCATCTAGATGATTTTCTTGGCATAAAATAATGTTTAGTGGCAATTACGTAATTTTTCATAACAAAACATCTTAAATAAAAGTTTTGTATGTATATTTGATAAATTACTTGTTCATAGATATCCAATAATAGAGGACACTTTTTATATGCGATATTGTATTCAATTTGCCAATACTGACTTTGTCTATATAACGATACTAATGGCTGTTGTCGTTAGTTTGCAGTGATTCGTCAAGAAGGTAAGATACAAACAATTCCAAATAATATTTTCTAACTACAAAGGTAGAGGTAACTAACGCAACGTGTCAGATATAATTACTAATTTCATAAAAGTTTTTCGTATAAATTTGACGTCGAGAAAGAGGAAAATTAAGTAGCATCAATAACTAAAAGTTTTACAGTGTCATTTGTGAAATAGTAGAAGAATTTTGTGTTTAATTTGATGAGTTCTACCTGCACAGACGCAACGAGTGTGTCATGAATTGTCAGACACCTTGTATATTATGTGTTGAACGTTTCAGTATTCGTATTTAAACATGAAAACAATAAGAATACAATTCAGTTATATAATTAACTTATAACTTAGATAATTCAGTTTCTCTAATTTTTATATGTCGAATTGTACGAATGATATCTCGTTTATGTTATGACTTTAATGACATGTTTAATCCTACCAAAGTACCGTACAATATATCTTTTTGAATATATAAGAATTATGGCAGATTTTTTTTCCTCCAGGTTAGGTTCAGTTAATCAAGATTAGTTAAGATAACAATTTTCCTAGAATACATTATATATATATATATATATATATATATATATATATATATATATATATATATATATATACATACATACATACATACATACATACATACATACATACATATATACATACATACATACATACATACATACATACATACATACATACATACATACATTGTCCCATTCGACAACCAACATGACCTTTGTCTTCACCCATTTATTTCCTTCCTCTTCTTCTCTTATATGACAAAATTAAAATAAAAGAACAATATCGACATATTTATATTTTATATGTGTTTAGCAATTTTATTGTTAAAGATTAACTCTTCATGCAGGTGTTTTTACCAAAAATGAAGACGGCAGTTTTAAAATTAGTTTTAAGTATTGCCTTGACGCTTACCGTGGCTGATGATGATGTGGTAGAGATTCTAAGTTGTTCACGTACTACTGATAAACTAAATACCAATGAAGTAACGCCAATAAAATATGACGTTGAACTCACATTAACGCCGCATATAAAAGTTATATCGGGAAAAATAGATATTACGATAACAATTAAGACAACAACGTCAAAAATACGTCTATACGCACACGACTTAAGAGTGAATGATTGGTGCGTAAGGATTGTACGGCCGGATGAAAGTACAGATTGTAAGAGCGGTTCACTTGGCAGACTGAAATCTCAATTACTTTGTTCCAAATATGAGATATTATTATTAGAGTTTGCTAATTCAATATATCGCGGACAATATATCTTACATCTAGAATATACCTCTCCTTTCGAAGAAAATTTATACACGATTAATTATCCGTACTCTTGGATAGGAATTGAAAAAAGGTAATTTAATAATATAATGTTATAACCCTGATATGTATATGATTGCAAATATCGTTATTTATCATTGCTCAATGTCAATTGGGAGAAAAACATCTCAATATTTCATATAACTATAGAACATTACTGATAACTTCTTAGTGTCTCCTCAAAAAAGAATGTGACTTCCGTGAACTCTAACGTGTTTTTTAAACGTTTTGACAAGTAATTTGAGAAATTCATAGTATCGTTCTATATTCCTCTATATAAGCTTCCTAAATAAATGTCTCTTCCGCAGATTTGTAATAAATGTTAACAAAAGGGACTTTGAGATTCTTGAGAACTCTTTAAGATTCAGACAATGAGAATGTCTCAAAGATTGAGACATTGAGAACTCTTTAAGATTCAGACAAATCTAGAATATTTTATCAGAATGTTTTGTAAATCTAGAATAAAATTATCTTCAACATTACAACGACATTATATGTGTGAATAATTTTTTATCAGAATATAATACGCGTGAAATCTTTGTATAAAAATATATATATTGTTTAAAGCGCAATGAGACACATATTTAATATCAAATACATTTCAGCGCGTTATTCTCACATATAATCAATCAGCTATATATTAAAGTTACACCTTTAAAAATATATCGTTGTCAGTGACTTTTTTTTATAATTCGGTAGGTACTTGATTACAAACCTATATGAACTGAACGCAACACGAGGACTGTTTCCGTACTTGGGTGATGTGAAAACAAAGGCACCTGTGCATTTAACAGTGAAACATAATAAATTATACACGGTTTTTTCGAATGTGCACTCATCGAATATATCGTACTCTTCTACCGATACTGATGAATTCAAATTGATCAATTTCCAAGACTCTTCCATAATACCCAGTTATATGTTTGCGATTGCGATGATACATGGTATCACAAAAAATCCTACAGAAACATTCCATCAACTATGGCACAGACCGAGTGTAGTGACAACACACGTAGAAAAGATAATACATAATGTGATGTTAAGTTTTGAGCAGAAAATAAAGTTGGATGTAACAAAGTTTCTAAAGAAAATTGATCATATCATACTGCTTAATAATCCTGTAAAATCCGCAGGAAAACCTGGACTCATTATTTATAGGTATGCAATACATGTTTCTCTGAAATGTTATTATCTAAATTATTAATATTGATAATAACCTCTCCTTAACATGTACTCTATGTAATTTGTTAAATTCTATGTTATTTGAAAAACATTCCTCACGGTTCACTTTGTTCAGTTTGTTATATAATTAAGTAAAACAAACTTAATTTGATTAAGATATTTTAATGCAATCTTGGAAACATATAGTTTACCTGTAAAAATTTAAACTTATGCCGCAAGATATATTCTGGGTATTCTAATAAATATTATGACTGAATGAAAAAAGTTGCTTAACACATTTGCGGATATAAGCGTATAGTTATAATATAATAGCGTAAGTTTATAATATAATTATTTGTGTGTGTGTGGTAAAATAAAAAGTTTCAGTTATGTACTCTAATAAAAATCAGGACGTCTCTATATGTTATTTCGGTAAGAGACTAAACGTTTATAACGTTACAATACTCTCTACCATATCATATAAGATTAGCAAACAAATTTAATAGATCGTAAATATGTAAAAGTTTACAAAGAATGCATAATACATATACGTTAAATTGTGCATGTTACACAAGAGAAGCTTTTATCGAAATATTGCTTTCCATTTACAGCGAAAAAGATGTTACATACGAACAGGATACAGACTTTCCAGGTCAATATATTCATGTTGCGAGAACGATAGCATACGAATTGTCACGCCAAGTGTTCGTGGGTTATATGAATTCACATTTAAAGAGTGGCTGGTGGATAAACAAGATGCTTACGTCCTTTTACAGCTATTATGTTTTAGATCAGGTTCATATGTATTATCAGTATTAGTAAACGCAAAATTTGTTATTATAGTTCGAAGAGCTTAAAAACTCTATAAGAGATATGCTCTTATAAACACTTCCCATAATATTATATTAAGTCGTACAAAAAAATTATTATTTCTAGATATTCGACACGTGGACAATGGACCTATTCGTAGTTCAAAATCTTCTAACTGTTCTAAATTACGATATTCCTATAAAGCTGAAAACTACTATATATAATAATAAAGATGATGGAATTGATAGTTTACTTTACTCTCTCTTGTATGAGAAAAAAGGTAAGACTGTACACGTCTCATCAATCGTTGTAAATTATTTAAATTTTACACGTATTATATTGTTTGCACAATTGTAGGATTTGTTCTATTTCGTATGCTTTTCTATCTACTTACTCCGGAAAAGTTTAATGAGGCCGTCAATGAATATATACATTCACAGTGAGTTGGTGTTTTCTCTGCAATATTATAATTATATAAACTCCCTCATATTTTATTTTAATTGAAAATTAATTGTGCTTTCTATTGTTATATTGTCCTTGCCGAATATTTCGCATAGATACATTTCTGTATCATTATTCGTGCATTTCGCACATTTCGCGTGCATTTCGTACATATTTATATTATATACATAGAAGGTTAATCGAGACAGTTTTACAAACATTTTCCCCATGAGAATTCTTTCAAGAATAATAAGTGTCAATACACAACAACACTATTAACAAATCAAATATAAATTATTATTTCTCTGTTAGCACTACGGATTTGTGGACCATTCTGCAAAAGAAGTATTTTCGACAAGACAAGACAAAATATAGTATAAAACAAATAATGGAAACATGGTTATTGGAAAAATCCTACCCTGAAATTACATTCGAACGTGAATATACCTTAACAAACTATAACTCTAGCAAGCGTTTCCTTAATAAGGTACCTTTGTATATGTATGTACCTCTTACTTATGCTATTCCAAAGGATATCAATATCTCGCATGTAGATGTAGTTTGGTATGAAGGGGGTGAGAAGGAATATATCTATGGCGCCAATGCAAAACAATTTTTCTTAGTCAACTTGGAATTAGTTGGTAAGCATAATAATTTACAATGCTTCGTTGTTTATTCAATGAAAGATTGACTATCAATTTAATTTTAGCAAGTTGTTTGCGAAAAATGCTACCTCAATCAGGAGCTTGGCGGAAGCTTCTACCGGAGGTGGTGCTTTTCGCAACGTCATAGGGAATCTCCAATGTATAAAAATCGTTCTATGTACACTGAGAGAAAAATGTATGATATTTGGAATTATAATGGCATAGTAAAAGATTATAGTTAGGAATATAATTTTTATAGTAAATGTTACCATAATATTTGTAATATTTACAATATAAGCATAGTATAACTGGCTCATGTAAAATTCTTACCAAGAATTATAATTATTTGAAATAAAAAATATAATAAGGTAGCAAATATTGAATGATAAGAAAAATTAACTATTTTATATAGTCAATTGGAATATTTGGCAAATATAGGTACATGTAACTATATTCCCAAAGGATGCTTTACTATATTTATAGAGTAATAAGATGATGACTATAAATCTGTGTTCATTCTGCTATATCTTCATGTTTAGATGAATAAATATATGTTTGAGATCAAAACGAACTATAAAATATAGTAAGATTATAGTTATTCCAACTATTTTTTTCTCTCAGTGTAGAGTGCGGGAGTAGGCAAATATTATAAGAATTAAAATATACGCGCGGGACGAAACAGTTTCGCTGTATACGTCAAATAAATCAGGGCAATTTTAGGACAAAATTTAAGTTGTCGAACGTTGTTGAAATAGTATAAATAATTTGCAGTTCGCTTTAATTGATCAGGTACTCGCGTTCTATGAGTTAACGGAGATAATTGGGTATCATATTTCGCATGATTGAATATATACATATTGTGAAACTCCTGATTGCAGTATGAATTTCGTGAATCGTTCAATCTTTCTCCCTAAAAATGTACACAGCGTTAATTTTTCTAATTAGATGAGACGGAAATGATTGTAGAACATTTCTCGATGAGCATTATTGAAGAGGACCTTATATGCTTTATCTTTTTTACCACAGGTTGCTATCGCGTTAATTACGACGACAAGAATTGGCAGCTACTTTCCGCTCACTTAAAGAGCAATTCTACACCGAGCATACCTGTTCTCAATCGTGCACAGATTGTGAACGATGCATACTATTTTACAATAGCTGAAAAATTATCACCGACAGTCTTCTTCGATGTCATTCAATTCCTGCATAACGAGACAGATTACATAGCATGGTATCCTATGTTTAATATTTTATCATATATGTCGGCTTATTTACCAATCGCACATGAAGAATTAGCGAGGGTGAGTAAGAATTATTTTCATGAATATTATTAGCAGTTACATTAAGCACTTGGTAATCCAAAAATATGGAAGAATCGTAGAAGAATAGGGTACTGAGTTTACAAATGTACACTAAAAAAAAAACCGTTGAATCGACAAAATCGATAGTCATCTGCTTTCAAAGGAATATTACATCTATTGAACAAATTACATGTTAGTGCAACAATACATCGCGTTGATATAGTTATTAATCAAATTGCAAATAAATCGATTGATAACTTTCTCTTTCTCACACACACACATGCGCGCACGCACGCACGCACACATAAACATTGCACCAACGAAATAATTCTTTCAGTGGACTAAACATTTGCTTGAATTTTGTTCGTTTAAACAAAATCTCATTAACTTAACCGCTTTTTTTCTCCGTATGGAAATATTTTTTACATTGCGTGTGTAGACATAATATCTTCATAAATAACAAGCAACGATTTTAGCTAAACTTTTTGAACATTCTGGATGGACTTCTTAAAAACGTAGGATATGACCAAAGTCCAGACGACGAAACTATGACGATGGCGTTAAGATTATTAGCAATAAAATGGGCCTGCAAACTCGGTCATAGCACATGTAGAAACGTTACTGCCAACAAATTGATAACGTATATATATAAATATGACTCGTACATGTAAGTTTCCTTTACAATCGCTGCTATTATACTTTCAATTTGTTTGCTTAGTATTTCTCGCATCATTATGATGATGCAGTTACGTGGCAAACAAATGAGATCGAAGAATAAACATTTGTTAAGAGGTTTTAATTATTTTTACGCATATACCGTAGGACTCCGTGGTTGACCAGCTGGATGTATTGTGCGGGAATGATGTCTGTAAACTTAACTGTTTGGTATGACATTTTGAATATTGCTACTGAACATAAAAATGAGGAACTTTTAGAAAGCCTATCTTGTTCAGAAAATGTACAAGTAATTTTGCATTATTTAAACTTGATACTATATACGAATATTGGACAGCAAAAAAGATTAAATATGGGACAAATATATCATTCTGTTATAAAGAAACATGTGAGGAAGGATGCTGTGTTTCAATATGTGTTAGACAATTATAATTACACACTGACAAGGTATCCCTTTCTCATAAGAAACATTTTTTATCATCGTTAGACTTACCTGTACCTATAAATACTAAATCTTTATCATTTAATAGATTCCCCAATTTTAATAATGTCACTCTAATGGGTAATATCATTATGAATCTGGATAACGAGGAACAACTAGAGGAGGTGAATTTTATAATTTCGAATTACTTAAATATTACTTGCTTAAATTTATTTGTCTCTTCAAGATTTTTCTTGAAGTTGTATGAGCGTAAACATTGAACTAACTTAATTGTTAAATATTGAGAAATTATTTTGCAATTTAACCATTGCAAATTGTTCTAAATAACTGTTACTCTTTATCAATCAACATATTATCTGTTTTAGGTACGCTACTACATAAACAAAAAATTTTTGAAAAAAGATTATCAACTATGGAAAACGTGCATAAGATTGACTCAAGAACGACTACGTCAAGTAATGAAACTGCGGGATAAATTTAGGATGTTTTAAGGCAATAAAAAAGAATTTGGTATTATGATCTTCCGAATCAACAAACAAATCAACATCGATATTAAAAAACGAATAGTTTCTACTAGAGTTCCTCTAGAGTTAAGACAAGATATAATGATTTCTGAATAGTCTGCGTTCTCTCTACCATTTTTAGAAATGACGTGGTGAGAGTAAGAGAAAAAATTCTCTTAGTACAAGTTAAATACAAGTTTTCAGACTGAAATAACGCACAACGTTGTAGATTTTTTTTCACTCACATTCTCCCTAAAAATGGCGAACAATGTCCTAAGTCTGACTTGAGGAAGTAGTTTCTCTAGTTTCTACCATTATAACTCTACAAATTTCAATTTGTTATTTTATATTATATTTATATAAAGCATATTTATAACAAGCATCATAACGTATTTTTTTCATAATTTATAACGTGATATCATCTTTCGCATCCAGCATTCCTAAAGAAACCTACAAGGTAGACAATGAGATATCGCAAAAGATCCAAGAGTGTTTAAAACACGACGCGTACAGATTTCTTGAAAAAATTGTTATCCCTTATTTTTCACTTCATAACTCCCCGACGATAACGTTTCTCTTCAACCGCGTTTGTTGTAAGCGATCGTGTGAGCGCGATAGAAAATTATAAATCTGTCCTTTTGCTCGCGAAGGAAAAGATTTTTTTATATCTTATAAAACAGCGTGATTCCTATGTCCTCCTCGGAAATTAAATAAAATCTAGACTGTGAACTAGCTTGTAAACATAAAAATGTCGTTTTGTTTTCACTGAATTAAAAACACCCGAACACTGTCTTCTTACATGACTTTGCACTTTACTCACACGTTTGTAACTTACGTTTCTCGACATAACCATCTTATTGTGGATGAGTTATTTTGAGACAATCCCATCGTCAAGGAACATATTGAATATTTCGTACAAGATATCAATTCTTTCACTTATCAGCGCTCATAGAAACATGATATCAGTTTTTTGATACAAGATTGATATCTGACCAATTTTCAGGCTGCATATATGTAACTTATACATGAAAAAATGTATATTAACATTTATATATATATATATTTTTTTTTTATATACATATATATATATATATATATATATATATATATATATATATA